CGCCTGCTCCTGGGCATCCCCCTGGCCCTGATCCCAGTCCCAGTCCTCGGTGCCCTCCTGGTCCCATTCTCAGACCAGGGCACTGTCCTGGTCCTGTTCATCGTCCCCGCTTCGGGTGCTGGGCACCCCTGTGGTCCCAGTCCTGGTCCTGGTCCTGGTCCGGGTCCCACACACTCCAGTCCCAGCCCTGGGCATCTCCCACTTGTCCTGGTCCTTTTCATCACCCCCCCTTTGGGTCCTGGGCACCCCTGTGGTCCCAGTCCTGGTCCTGGTCCTGGTCCTGGTCCTGGTCCTGGTCCAGGTCCCACACACCCCAGTCCCAGCCCTGGGCATCTCCCACTTGTCCTGGTCCTTTTCATCACCCCCCCTTTGGGTCCTGGGCACCCCTGTGGTCCCAGTCCTGGTCCTGGTCCTGGTCCTGGTCCTGGTCCTGGTCCAGGTCCCACACACCCCAGTCCCAGCCCTGGGCATCTCCCACTTGTCCCAATCCCGCTCCGGACACCCCAGCACCAGCTCCAGGCACTCATCCTGGATCCAGCTCCAGCCCTGAGCACCCCCCCCCCAGTCCTGTTCCCGGTGCCAGCTCCGGCACTGCGCACCCCACTCCCGTGCACCCCCGCTCTCCCCACCCTGGCCCCATCCCAGGTGCCCCCCAGGGTGCAGTGTGGGCAGCCAGGGTCAAACTGGGGGTCCTGGGACACTGGGGTTCCCTCCCTGCCCCAGCAGTGCAGGCAGGACACCGCGCTGGGGCTGTGCGGGATGGGCCACAGCATTCCCGGGGTTTTCAGCAGGAGATTTTGGGGGGACTGGGGACCATTTGGGGTCTGTTGCTCGCTCTGGGATCCTATAAGCACTTGGAGCAGGGGGTGTCACCATGGGGGCCCCGCAGGCAGCTGTGGGCGTCAGACCTCTGTGGCACGGCCGCCCCAGGCGGGAGCCACCGTAACGGGGCCCGATCCTGCCCCCCACCGCCACGGGCCAGGCGCCGCAAGTGACCTCACCGCTGGTTGCCGAGGAGATGCCTCATGACGTCATGGGGCAGCGGGGCTGGCGGGGAGATGGGGGATGCTCTACGGGGACCGGGGCGGGGGATGCGACCACCGCCGCCTTCGTCACGGCTGAATAATAACGAGGGGGTTCACCCCTCGGCGGTGACCCCGTGGCAGGG